CAAAAAGCAACTCACATTATTATGTGTGATTAATTAGTGCTTAATTATATCAGCGGTGGTTTTTTTTTAAAAAAAGGAAATGCTAATTATTTTAACCACATTCCTCATCTTCAAAATTTTGTGACATTAAAATAGATTTGGTGAAGGGCAGGTTAATATTAAGGAAAAATATTCTTTTTCTTTCTTTCTTTCTTTAAAAAAATTGTTTTTGTCTGTCTTGGGGCTTGAACTCAGGGCCTGGGCACTGTCTCTGAGCTCTTTGAGCGCTCTACCACATTTATCCACAGTAACACTTCCAGAAAAAAAAATATTCTTCCTGTAGAAATTACTAGGTCAGTTCCTCCATTTTCAGGATTATTTCTTATTTCCTTCCCACTATTGAGACAATGGCAGCATATTTTACTTATAATAACACTACTGTTTCAGGGTAGTGGATGAGAATTACCACTTACTGTTTAGAATAAATTTAAGCCTGATGTTTCAAATTCCATCTTTTCTGCTGAGGTGTTTTTTAAATTGATTTTGATTGTCCAATACTGAGTACATGGAACATAATAGCTCTCATAGAACAATCACATGACAATGAAAAAATGATGAGTAGTCAATAGGAGAATCATTTAAACTTTGTAATGATCTTTTAAAAACACCTCAGAGGATATGCATTAATTATTAAGAAACACTTCCTGCTTAGCCTTCCAGATTTTTGTTGCTCCAGAGAAACACAAGCACAGAAGGCTTCTGATCAAGAGTCCTGATTTTTCTTCTTGAAGTTCTTTGTATTAAACTGAATTTCCTTTAAGACAACATAGCTTTATGTTGTTAGGCTCTGCTGTCTAAGCTAACTCAAAATGGATGTCTGTGTGATGGAAACAAATGTGAATTGAGACTAAAACATGGTGGAAACGTGACTTAACTGATCATGCATGACCCTGTCCCTGAGGTTTCTAGTTTACAGTTATTTTATTTACTAGCTGACTTAGTTCAGTGTGTATTTTCAAATAATGATTACATGTAATTATAAAGGATCTATATTAAATCAGAGATTGAATTTTGATTCAAGTGCTTGATGTAAAATATATCATAAACATACTTTAAAATATTTGAAAAACAAACAAAAGAAAATTGGGGGGCTAGGCTGGGCCAGTATAGATGGGGGAGAATGTTGAAAACGGTGACCTTGGTCAAGACTCATGGTACTTACCAATTAATTTGTTGAATGGGAACTCCTTTGTGCAACACTTAAAGATAATAAAAATATAATTTAAAAAAATCACATGAGATAAAATTGACCCAGGACTTTTGCTATTTAAATGCTTGATTATCCGAGCAGGAAGCTACTACCTTTGTGTTGAGGTAAGAATTTTCCATGTGAAAGGGTTAAAACATGATTTCAAAACTAAATATGGTGCCGCTGTAGATGCGAGAGGAAGTATTTCCTGAGAACTACCAGTAGGAAGCAAATAAAAACCACTCCAGAAGAAATTGAGAGATTGCTAGAACGCTGTCTGGAAATTGTCTTCTCAGGCTAACCCTCTCATGTCATACCCTAAATTACAATAAAGGGGGAAAAAAGTACTGAAAGAATGCCTGGAAAGAGGCTTTAACACTTTGGGCCTGCTGAGATAGCAGATTAAAATGCTGTCAACTTTATCTTCATATGGATCTTTCAAAAGTAAAGTCCTTTCATGGGTAGCCACAGCAAGTGTGATGGATATGCTATACTGATACCTTGAACAATTACCTTAAACAATTATGTTTACAAATTATAGACACTAAGTACAAATGCCATGACAAAAAAAAAGATTATCTACCAGGGAAAGGTATATGATATGGAATGTCCTACTGGAGAAAGATTGGATTTAACTTCAGGATCTCATCCTATGTTATCTAAAGCTGTGCCTGTTTTTCCTTAAACCATTCCTTTTATTTTTTTAACTGTTTGTATTTCTAATTCTGTGATGTGTTTTTTTTTTTTATTACAAATTCTGTTCTTTCTTTAGTAGTTTTTCACAAAAGCTACAGGCTACAAAGATAGTATATAATTGTGAGCTAATCTTTTGCCTCAGTCTTACAACATCTCAGTTATACAATATCACATTTATAATGGATTTTTTTCCTTCTTGGAATACTTTATATTACATATATACATATATATATACATATATATATATATATATATATATATTTGTGAACTTAACTCATCTGGTTTCTAACACAGATGAAGTCAACTTTTCTAGGAATAACCTTTGTTATTCCAGAGAAGGGTTCACTATATAGCCTAAACTGGCCTGGACTTAACAATCCTATTCCAGCCCCCTGTGTGCTACCACATCTGGCAAACTTTCCACTGTTTAACACTCATGATCATATTCACACATAAACAGCAGCATTAATGATGTGGCCCTAAATTTAACCTGTTATGGTTACGTAAGACAGACTCTATGCTTCTAGTCACATAAGTTAAAGGAATAAAAAAGAAACAGAGAATAAACAACTTCCTCCAAATCCAAGGTTGTTTGATAGGTGACTTTGAGATTTTTCACAGAATCCTTAAGTGCTAGAAAGTAATAGTAGCTTTAACCAGTTTTCAAGAGTACACAGATTGGATGGTAAACGTCCCATTTCTTGTCAGGGAGAGAGGGAATATGGGGTGTTTGCTCTGATACAGAGCATAAGTTTTCACTGAAATGGGTGTCAGATCAGACTGGCCTTCCATATCTTAGAGAAATTATCTCAGCAAGACCTCTGCTTCTAGCTATCATCATGACTATAGGCAGCAAAATTGCCAAAACAAGCACCCATCCACTGTTTCATTCAAAATCATTCAGTGGATTCTTTGCTTTTGCCAGCCATACCTCTGAGATTTCAGTATGCAGAGAAGACTGTGGCAGAAAAACCCCTGCCCTTGTAAGGAAGTCATTATTCCAGTATGATATCAGCAGATAACAAGCAAGTACAAATAACAGAGTAAAACCAGTGGAAGTAGATGGAGACAAGTACATGGGAAGAAAAAATGATCCACGAGACTGAAAGATGAATCCAAAGTCAGACTGGCTTTTTTGATTAAAATAAATTCAAAGCTCAATCATCTAGAAGCTGCTTAGACAATACTTTTCTATCACTCTCCTGCTTATCCTATTTTGCCATAATCAGTAATGATTATCATTGTACTAAAATGCTGGAAGGCCTATCAATAAATGATTATTGAGATCTCCCTAGTCTCAGTACCAGTACAATCAGAAAGTGTGGTTGAATCCAAACAAACAACTCTGTTGTTGTGATAAAATATAGGGGTTGTGATGATGCTTAAGTCAAATACTTAAGTTTTCTTGGAGCAAGAGGTGTTTTTTTCACTAACACTACCACCCCTGAGACACTGTCCTCAGACACCTCCAGAAGAGGCATCATCCAACCACTAGATGGCGACAATTATTTTCATATTTTTAAACAAGGGAAAAAACTTTTCTATGTAACAGCCACTGTTTAAAATGGGGGAAAAAATGACATCACTATTAATAAAACTACTATATTTTATTAATAATTTTCTTATAGGAAGGATCACAACACAGCATGAAATGCAGCATGGTCAGTTACCTGCATATGTGTTCATTTGTCCCAGATATTCTACAATTTGTTAACACTGACTTTAAATATAAAAAAAAGTAAGAATGTAATAGTTGAATGTGCAAGAATCATTTGAATATATAAGTATCAGGATGAAAATTAACTGATAAAATTATATTATTACATTGCATAAACCTTACAAAGATTTGCAGAAAAGTTTTAATAAAATAAAAACTTATCTTTTATGAAAGATATTTCTAAATAAACATATATGTGTGTGAATGCATATGTACACATATATTTAAAACCAAGGTATTAATATATTACAACTAAATAAAAAGCCATTATGAAATGTAATACAATGTAGGAACCATTTAATTAAATATATTTCACGTAGTGAGAGTCTGTATAAAAGTTAATATATAGAACTTTTTATTAATCAAAACTCAGCTTCAAAAGACGTTTGTATCAGTCTTGCTGTTTCATAAAAGTAAGTATACTGTGTCATTGAAATCTTGTAAAAATATTTTCTAAAAGAGAATAAAATGTTCTTATTTATCCGAGAGTGGTTAGTTGGTCACACCTGTAATTTTTGCTCTTCCAGTTTTGAGATCTGAGGATCACGACTTGAAGCTAGCCTGGGCAGAGAAGTTCATGATCTTTTTATTTCTATTCAGCAAAAAGCTGGGTGTGGAACTGTGGCTCACGTGGAAGAAAAACAGTCTTAAGGAAAAAAGTCAAGTGAAAGTTTTAGGTCTTGACTTCAATCCCCCATACTAACACAAAAAACAGGGGGAGAGGGGAGGTTGGTAATATTCAAGGAACATTTATTGAGAAACAAAACCATCCTCATACTTCCATTAAAATATAGAAATAGCTCTATAAACATAAATATGACCTACATTTCATTATTGTACTTCAATATAAAATACAATGAAAGTTTGACTAGTCATAAAATGCATTGAAAAGCACTATATGCAGAATGGCTATATTTAATTACTGTGGGGGAAAAATGAAAGTTGCATGTTCTCTCTAACAACTTAATTAATATAGGTAGTCATGGGGTTTGAACTCAGGGTCTTCTGCTTTCTAGACATGTGCTCTACCACATGAGCCACAGATGTAGTGACACTGAGACTGTAGTGAGATTGTTATGTCCATTTACTGACAGGCCTCTCAGTGAACAACAATAATCATTAGTGAGTTGTTAAAACATGATCAGCAATAGAGATTTTATATGTATTTATATAAGTATGTATAGAGAATATATATATATATATATATATATATATATATTGAGTCCCCAAACAATTGTTAAAAAACAAGCATCTTTTTCTATTACAGTATGAATAATGAATGTTTCAAACTACCTACTAATTTGACCACTACTCTACTTAACTTAAAACAATTTAAAACAAGCCAAAAATAATACTTACACAAAGACCTGCCAGAGTTCTTTGTCTCATATCAACGAACTTTCTAAACATCTGGCCTTCCTTATAGAGTCTGTCATAGCATTTTGATCTCTCTTCCGCAAGATGATCATACACTGTTTGGATACGTTCTTTTTCAAGTCTCACGTCATAAAACTGTTTCCTGGGAAGAAAAAAAAAATCCATGCCACTAGCTGATTTCCATTTTCCTTTCTGAAATAATTTTAGGATACATTCTGGGGGAAAAAACCCGTGATATAAAAAGATATTGAAATTTTCTTCTAGTCTCTCCCATTTCTTCCAATCTCACTGATCCATTAGTTTCATGCTAAGTTCTTAATTTTTTTCTCCCTTCACTGTGACTATTATCAGCCTTTATAAATTTGACTTCTGGCTCATATTTAAAGCCCACGAACCTCTTCTCCCTGTAACAAGTTCTCTTTTATAGGCCTGGCTCTATTTCTTCAACAAATTATTCATACCAATAATTCAAATGATTAAATGTATCACATATGTGTTATACATAAAAATACAATAGAAAATATGTACCTTTTAAAGAATAAAATTTAAATAAGAACATGAGAACTCATTTACCAAGTAAACATTGAAGATGATTACAAAATTGAAACACTTACCTTAAAAGTTCAAGTTCCCTGTCAAGTTTTGCGTTTTGCTCTTCCATTTTCCTTAATTCTTTAGTCATCTGAATTATTTTTTCATTATAATGCACTGTTTTAGTCTTCGCACCTTCATACTGTTTAATAACCGTTGACCGTTTATCCTGCAAACAAAATTCAGAAATGCTTTAAGTAGTTGGCTTGTGAAATCCTCACCAAACGGAGGCACAATGACAATGGGCTGTATGAACAACTAAAAACCAGTTGTATGTAATCTCTTGGTAATATAGGTAACGAATTAGCTTTGTGCTCTCCACTTTTCCATTGATAAGATTGGTAAACACTCTCTGTCCTCTCTGTTTTCCTGCCCCGCCTTTTTTCCACATGCTTGTCTCTTCTCGCCACCTGCACATAGGGACACCTTGCAAGCATGTGGTTTCACGCAGCAGATGACATGCGACCCTTCATGGCGCTGCTTCCCAAATTGCTCTAGGTGTCCGTGCAACCATGGCAAACAAGTGGTGGTGCTTGCACGACCCAGCAAGCACTCAGCACAATGTCCAAAAGAGACATGGGAGGAGCCCCATACTACTAAAGCAACACAAGCGAACAAAAGACCTGCCTTACTAGAAGACTACATTGGAGTCGCCCTCCCTTTTTTGTGTGTGTCTTTCCTTTGACTTCTAAATAAATTTGCCTTGAAGAAAGAAAGAAAGAAAGAAAGAAAGAAAGAAAGAAAGAAAGAAAGAAAGAAAGAAAGAAAGAAAGAAAGAAAGAAAGAAAGAAAGAAAGAAAGAAAGAAAGAAAGAAAGAAAGAAAGATAGATAGAAGGCAGGGAGGGAAGGAGGGAGGGAGGGAGGGAGGGAGGAAGGAAGGAAGGAAGGAAGGAAGGAAGGAAGGAAGGAAGGAAGGAAGGAAGGAAGGAAGGAAGGAAGGAAGGAAGGAAGGAAGGAAAAAGAACACAGAAACAAACAGCTAACAAGTTCCATAACACATCCATGTGGTCCCTGGTTTCCACAAATGTGCCGTGTGCATCTGCAGCCAGCCAAGAGTATATATTGTTCTAATCTTTCAGAGAAAACAAAAAACAAAAAAAATCCCCAAAACACTATTTGCTACCCTCACAATTTCTCAAGCTGGACCCATGCAATTCCAGCTTGAAGTGGTGAATTCATAACTATTTTTCATGTTCCCTTCAAAACTGTTAGATGTTCAGAGCAACCGACTGGCTTCTGGGCTAGAACATTGTACATTATTACATATTATTGTATATTATTTCCCACATCCAGCTTATGTTCCCAAATGATTCCATAGATCCCAACTGCTGTCCATTTTGCTCTTATTTTCTGTATCATGTGTTTCCTATTCTTATCTCAGATACTCTAGACTGGATCTTTATTTAGGCTTCTGATAATCTCCCTTTTTATTTATTTTTATTGTTTTAAGTAGTTGTACAAAGGAGTTGCCAGGTAACAAAGCACTTTATGAATGCAGTCTTTCAATATTCTTACCCATCTCTCTTCTACCCACCCCTTTCCCCACTCTTCTTAACTTCGTAGGATAGACATGGATTCTTTTTATTTTTGTAATATACTAGATACCTGATTGCATTCTCCCTACATCTCCTCTTCATCTCTCTGTCCCTTTCCTCTTGACTCAACTCCCCCTTCCCAAGTAACCGTTTCCTAATATTTATTGTGTTAAACGTTAGGAATTAGACTATTTAAGATCTCCCTCGAATCTACCATATTTCAGCTAATAAATTTGTATACACTTGCATATCACCTGCCACATTTACTTACTAATTTATGAGCTAAAGATTGCTTTCACATACTAAGGGAAAACATGCATGGTTTGTGTTTCTGGGCCTGACTTTCTATACAAGATTAGCTGTTTAAGTACAGTAAGTAGTATGTTTTTGTTTGTTATTGGTGTTGACAGCACTGGTACTTGAACTCTTGGCTTCATGCTTGGTAGGTAGTCATTGACTGCTTGAGTCAGCTGCCAGCCCATTTCTGTTATTTCTGCTCTGGCTATTTTTTGTTTTCTTTATATACATATATATGTATATATATGTATATATAATTGTACAGTCTTTCTTCCCAATACTAATTTATTGGCTGTAATTTCAGCATAAGAATTTGGGAAAGATTCAATGCTCCATCTTTTCCTTTCTCATTCTTTACTTCTTTCCTTCCTTTTCTCTTTCTTTGCCTTTTTTTTTCTTCATTTCTACCTAAAACCACAAGCACTGGAAACCAGCACGGAAGCAGAAGGAAACAGTGGATTTCTGCACAATCCAATATACATTTTTGCTTCACATTCCACCTTAATTAAAGGCTGTTGTCCTCACCATCTAGAAGAAAAGTATATGTGTATGTTTGTGTGTGTGTGGTCACGTGCACAAAAAGTTTGTTTAATGCAAGCAATGAGAAATACAATGTTCCACCTAAAATTAAATTCTTTTGACTAGTTTACATTGACATAAAGGCTTATAAATTCAAAATGGTTTTTTGAAATAAATTTCTCACCACTGTTTCTGATAATGCAACACGGGATATCTTCTCCTTTTTATACAATTTTTTCCTTGTTTTTTCTACTTTTACTCGGACCTTTTTTTTTCTATCAAGTATATCATTAAGCATCTAGAAGACATTCAGACATTTATCCAATTATTCTGGTTATAATTAAATAATAATTACATAACTAAATGTTTTAGTAAATACAGTACATATGAAGTATAGAAACATTGTGACATCCAGAGTCTCAACATATTAGCTGAAAATAAAATCTAATCCATTTAAGTTTTAAAACAAAGCCACTTATAAGGGAATAGAATTTTTTATTCTGACATTTAAAATTCAAACTAAATTAAAATTAAATGGAAGTTGTCAGCAAACATTAACAAGTATGTAAAGCATTTCCTAGATTTCATGCTACGTGAAAAGTTCTTATACATTATTAACTATTAAGATATAATAAAATAAAAATTATTATAGAACTACAAGAAGTTCTAAAACTATGGCTACTATAAAATAAGGAGAAACAAAAGACTTTAATCTTGTCTGAAAATTCATTATAATACTGAGACAATTGTAATGAATCTCTTGATGTAATTAATAAATTCCCATTGTTAATGAAAGGGAGACACATTATTAAATCATTTATCCCACTAGGTGTTGGTACTGGGAATATATTTGTTACATGAGCATTATGACAGCATTCAGAATCTTTATATGGATTACTACTTAGATGTTCTTGTTTCTATGCTCCATGATCTTGTAGAAATTGCTAGATTTGGTTAGGCTCAAATTTTCTCTAGTTTACGGCTAAGTAACCTTCTCTTCTATATTTTATTGGGAAGCAATGGCAATCAAAATTATTATGTGTTATAGAAACTCTTTTTATATGACTAAACTGAAGGAGGGAAGGTTAACAGTGTTCAAAAGGAAATATACTCATTACCTTACTTCCGTAACTGTAACCCTCTTTAATCACCTTTACAATAAATACATTAGACATTAAAAAAAGAAAATTATTGATGACCAAGAGCATAAAATTATATCAACATTTGCAAAGAAATGAAAAATTTTATTGCCAAAATGGTTCAAGCAAATATATGTATGTCTTTCCAACAGAAAAAAGAAGAACAAGAATGTATAACTCTTACCACACCCTCTGCTTCTCTGAAAGACTAATGACAGTTTGCATACATATTTTTCTACTAATTTTTTGGGGGGAAGGGCTACTAAAATCAGTTACTGTCATAAACTTGTAGTATTTTATTGATAGTTGCTTAATTCTTTTCACTTCTGTATGCATCAAAAATCCCCTATGAAAATGTCACGATGCTTTATATTTTATGTTCAAGTAAACAGAACTTCATAGCCTATTAAAAAGCAATGAAGATTTAACTATCCTATCAAGATAATGACATCACCAGATACATCATTGCCCATCCATTTGAAAACTGCTTTTCCTATGTATATTACAAGACAAAGTATAGAATTCTAAGGAACAGTCTTTGTGAGATGACTCCACCACATTCCCGTGGTATGGTGTTCAAAGAGTTACTTAGTGTGTCCATTATTTTTCTGTATGAGGTCACCATTTTCTAAATAGTAATGTAAACTCATATACATGGTTTATCAACCTAAATATTTCTATAAATTATTTTCTGGACAACCTATATATAATTGGCTATACAATCAATGATTATAAATGCTTACATCATAATGTTCTCCGTGGATGACTCTGATTTTTATAGCATCCTCTTCTATTTCCATCAGAGGACTCTCAATTTCTTCTAGTGCAATGCTGAATAATATTTTCTTATGCACAAATTTCTTCCTCTCTGTGAACTGATTTTCTTCAGTGGAAAGCAGCCTTTTCTACTAGGAAAGATTTTAAATAATTCATTAAGTTTTTAATTATCCAAACATTCAGTTCATATTAAGTACCAGGCAATTATCTTTGTTATTATTGAAAGGCCAAATAATACAGTCATTGTACTATTTGTACAATGCAATGGGTACAAATACTGTAAAAATTATTATTAGAAGAAATGAAAAAAAGTGAATAGACAAAAAATTAAGCATTCTTAAGTAAATGTTGGAGAACCTTAAGAGAGCACACTGATAACATATATTGAGATATATCCAATTTCTGTAACCTAAGAACAAATGATGAGAAGGAAATCAATAACAAAATATTAGGAAAAATGTCTGGGAAGACTATGAGATTTTTTAATATGTATGTTTCAAGTCACAAAAGAAAAAAGTAACAGAAGAAAATTACAAAGAGGACCAAAGAAGTAGATAATATTATATTTGGACTTTTTGGCTGTGATTGATTGTGTTTTTCTGATAATAAAAAATAACTGTAATTTCATATGAATGAGTCACATGTCTAATATATTTGTGTGTGTATTTGTATGTGTGTAATTCTGATTTTAATTGTGTGTGTATGTGTGTGTGTGTGTGTATTTCTAAAACCATGTCATAGATCAAAGACACTACCAGGGTTCCAAAGGATGCACCGGTGATAGGCAAAGATTTTCAAAAATTAAAATTGTCTTGTGAGTTCTCAGGTTTTCATTTCCAATCTTTATTGAGAAATATCACAGCACAGAGTGCGTTTGTTTCAGGGTAAAATAAGCAAATTCAAGTTAGAGACACTGAAAGTTAAGAAAACCTAACCACCGCAAAACAAACTAAAGAGTTCAACACTTAGGAATAAGATCTCACTACCCTTTTACTAGCCTGGCAGAAATTCCCATTAAAGCACAAAATGAGATATGTATACGAGAGGTCAGCATTTCATGCATGATCAGACACTGCTGGTTGGACACAGAGGGCAACTGTCATCAGCTAAGGAGAGAAAACTGCCAGCTTGCAAACCGAGCAGCGACAAGTTGCCTCACTGAAAGCAAATTTAAAATGCTAACTAAAATGCAAATTAAAGCAAGAATAAAATACTCAAACCAAATTAGTCTTACCTGAATTTCTACACCGGCAGCGACTTCACCTCTAGTGAGTTTTTTCAAGAACTCTTCTCTACCCTACATGTTGTGAAATGTTTTAATGTCAGTTTTAGTCACAGACTATCAGGAGACAAGTTTAAGACAATTGCAAATGCAAGATACATTTACTTATATCATGCTAAAGAGTGAAGTATTCACTACAATTCACGTACTATTAAAATTTTATAAAGCCTTGATGTTAGTGGAGATAAAATAATTAAGGGATAGAATGCCAAGAACAAACTATGTCATTGCAATTTCATCTCACTTATACTTTACAGTCTTGAGCTTAAAAGAATTAAGGTATCCAGGAAGAGATGTCTAGATAGTTATCAATTCTCACTTTAAAAAATCTACCAGGTTTTTTTATTATTTATTTTTTCCATAATAAGCATGTAACATTGAATACAAGTTAGACAATGCAAGTTTGAAAAGTGTGAGCAGATTCTCCATTTACCTAGAATAATTAGTCTAAAACAAACAAACAAACAATCAAAAACAAACATAATGCCTTGAAAGTTATTAGGGCCAACAAAAAAGAAAACATCTTGTATGTGTTACCAAGATAAATTGTTTATAATTATTTATCTTCTTTCTTTAAGCCACACAAAGCCAGGTTCAGGAATAATTGCCCCCAATCTTCCAATTCTTTCTCTACCTTATCAATCTAGCAACTCCTTCGAAAGAGTTGTCATTTGGCAAAGCAGGTTATGAATACAATGTGTCTTGATCAAAACCCTTGGAATTGTCCCGATTTTCCTTGCACTGAAAACTATTACATGTGGCTATTTTGTCTGAACCATTTCCTTGATGCTTATTGTCCTTTGGTAATTGGTTATTAATGAATGAATAATTCTTTCCACTTTTACAATAACCCACAGAGGGAGGATCTGTTTTGTGATCACCATTTCCACATCTCCTGCCTCCTACAATCTGCTGTGCCCAACATGGGCAGATTTCTTTCATTCATTCTAGCTCTGAATATCACAAGGATCTATTGACAAGATTTCTTGTCCCTAGGTAGCCTTTCTCATCCCCGAACTCATCTTCTTGCCTTAAGCAATCTTCCAAAAGATCAAATCTAACTCTTTTTCAACGGTTTCCCCTGGTTTTGTTTAAATGGTTTAGAAAAATGCCTATCTTTTCCCAATAAAGGTATAGCATACAAGAAAACACAAAGGCAGTAAGGGATAGGGTGACTCCATCACTTTATAAAAGATGACACAAACATTTGAAACCAAATAATACAAGGACACGTTAATAATTTTAAAGAAATTAGCTTCCTCTTCTGCTATACTAGACAAGGAAGACATTTTAGATATTCCTATTGCCTGAAGAAAGTTTTCTCCTATTCCAAAATAGAGAGCTATATCTGACCTTTGGTTGAAATAAATTAAAAATTGTGTGCAAGTATGAATGCGTGTGTATGTGTGAATGTGTGTGCATGTGATTGTTGAGGTGGGAGATGGCAAAGCCTGAAGCTGAAATGCAAACAGATTATGCAGATCTTTTCTTCATTAAGACAATTAGTGAAATTAAGCAAGGTATGTTAAGTTTTAGAGTGATCGCTAGCTGTAATACGGATGTTTCCTTCAGATGCGTTTACTCTTCAAATTTATTCTTTCGGTTGTCAGCTTGTAAGAGGACAATCTGTTTAAACAAACATGTCTCTAAACTTAGATCAGAGATTTAAACCTTTAACCAATGGACAAAAGTTCCCTAGGGAAGCTATGGGGAGCATCTGTTCAAACCCTGAGAAAGGTTTTCCAAGCTCACTACCACACCCCTTGACATCTGTGAACCCAGATAGCAGCATCAAACGATCGGATAAACAGTCATCAGTAAAGAAAACACCTCCCATTGTCTGGGCTGCCAATTTTACGGTTGTATCAGACCCACGCCTGCAGGAGTCTTTCCAACCAGGAGCTCAAGACCTTCCTAGAATATCATCCTTCACACCCAAAGCATGCTCAATCCCTGGGAAGATCTCAGAGGCTGAGCCCTTCCAGGAAGAACTAGTGGACTTCTAATATGTTTAATATATTGAAGAATGCACACAATTCTCAAAGAAAGTGATCTCTGATGGTCAAAATTCTTAGGCCTCAGGGTGTCAGAGCAGAGTAAGACAGTTTCTCCTCCCACCCTAGTGGAAAAACAGCTTCTGGGGTATAATTTAGTGGGCAGGATGCTAATTAAGGAGCACCTTTGGAATCCGGACATGTGAGCTTTAAAGGGAATGAAGCAGAGGCTGAAGAGCTAGGCAGTCAGGAAATTGAATGGCCAAGGACAGCGGGCTGTTGATATTAACCAAACAACTCATGTCATGTACCTGCATCCTGTTGATCTCCACGGTCCTCTCAGCCATGGAGAGTGGAACATCTTTGTGACCATGATTGGTGGCTTTCGTGATAGTCAACGTATCAGTAGCATCTTGGCTAGACAAAATCTTCCACCTACCCAGCGACCCTGATGGTCACAGTCTGGTCTGTTAAAGTAAAAGCTCCCCTATCCAGTGTGTGGGAGGAGTTAATGACATATGACCCAGTTTCCAAAAAGGACCACACAACCCTATCTGCACACACCAATCAGAGTTCAAATTCTTAAGATCCCTCTAGCCTCCATTTATTCCTGAGACTTGGCTATTCTCATCTCTTACTTTTTGCATGAATGAACCTGCTCCTGATATGGATCCTCTGTGATCCTAAAGAATTGTTTCATGAGGAGGTTAAAAAAAAAACCCACTTGCTGCTCTGGATCTGCTAGTAGCAGGATTAGCTAGAGAAACATGGTAAACTGTAATATAGACTCGAGGACAATCTCGGCCAACACTACAGGGAGTCAGAATGCAAGAATGGTCCTTCAGATGAGCCCCATGGTGGCTCACTGGGAAGCACTGTCCTTCTGTATACCAGCCTCTGATGCAGGCTGTGTTAGCCTTAAGCAAAGGACTTCACTGACTCTTGACATATAATCTTGGCAAACACACACACACACACACACACACACACACACACACACACACACAGCATCCTCAATGATAATAATGTATTTGTACAATGTGTAGTGATCATTTTTTCTTACAGATTTAGCATTTCAGAGACACCTGGATTCCTAAGACAAATTAAAGTGATAAGCACACTTAGTTGAGAGCCTCTGACTCTTGGAGGTGCATACCTCCAATGTCACTCTAAGCTATGAGGCTTTGCAGTTAAATGAGAATCCCTGAATTCTGTAGCTCAGGTGCCTATAGGATTGGGCAGGCTTTGGGTCAAAGAGGCACCAATTTGTTAGCAATGCCATAGTGGACTCTGATGAAACAGAATCCACCAGAGAAGTTATCAGCTCTAGAGAGATGTTTCTTTAATTATGCAATACAAATTATGTAGCTGTGGAATACAGAGCCACAATAAAAAATGAGCACAAAATTACCAGGAGGATGAATTAACTTAAGAACTAGTGTGTAGTGTAGAGAGTAGATTGCACTATCATTGGATGTGTTCAAAAGAAGGATCTATTGAATAACACAGAGTTATAGTTGGGAAAAATATTTCCTGATTTGATATTATGGGTGCTGCTTTTGTGAATTTGTTGTGTCTTGGGCATGTAAACAGAGTGTTTTGTGCCTACAGGCAGCCCTAGCTTTAGAGGGTTCCATGTTAATGAAAATCAGGGCACACTGGGGACTACATAACACAAGGGTAGACTGAGATAGGCATAAACATTAGTTAGTACAATGTTGTGCAGAAGGAAGGCTGCTTGTATGTGGTATGTGTGTGTTTGACTGTGTGCTTGAGTGTATGTGTAAATTACTCAACACACCCATTTAGTCAAATAGCTACTGTGTTAGCCAGTTTTCCTTTACTACATTAAATAGCTGATCTATTCAACTTGGGGCAAAGGGGAGAGGGGAAGATGAATGAAGGGGGAGAGGAGGAAAAGGCAGTCAAGAATTCATTGTATATACCACAAAATTAAGAAAAAGAAGGGAAGGGGTGGATCAAAAGGAGGTGAAAATATTGAAATGGGTGATGCAGATCAAGATTTGTTGTATGCATAAGCAGCTTTGTTAAATGGTAAAGAATTCAATATATGTTCTAAAAAAATAAGAAAAGTGAGGGTTGGCAGGGATGGACAAGAATGTTGAAAAGGATGACATCAATCAAGACACGCTGCATTTTCATAAGCTGCTTTATCGAATGGCAATTCCCTTGTACGACTACTTAAAGGTAAAAAACCAGAGGAAAACATTTGGCTCACACCTATAATCCTACCTACTAAGAAGGCAGAGATTGAGAAGATCCTGATTCAAAGCCAGTCCAGTAAGAAGCTCAGGCAACTCAATCTCAGTAGAAAAGACTGGATATGGTGTTGCATTCTGGTCATCTCAGCTCTAGCGGTAAGGGTAATCAGAGGATTACAGTCCAGGCTGACCCAGAAGTGCTAATCTCAAACAAACAACCAGAAGAAAATTGTCTGGAGGTGTGGTTCAAATGATAGAGAGCTTCCCTTAAAAGCATGAATCCATGAGTACAAACATTAATACCACAAGTAAAAAGAGGAAAATGGCTCTATGACAAGGAGACCTTCCATTTTTGCTTGAAAAATGGCATTGTAAGGATAAGTGGCGAGATTTTTTTTCTTGGAAAGGATGATAGGAAGGACAGGAAGGTACAATTACAGCAATGCACATTTGTGGAGTAAGCACCTGGATTGGAACAGCAAGAAGATTGCTTCTCCAGCAATGTGGCCTAGGCCCAACTGATGCCCAAACTTGGAGTTCTTCAAGCTGTCCACTCACTGGAAAGGGAATGAGACCCCAGAAAAAATTACCTTGTCATGATTCGGTGAATTGCTAGATGGTAGGTCCACTAAGTGAACATTTGTTGGAAAAAGAAGTTGCGTAGTCTTAAAATATTCAAGCTGGTAATTAGTACTTACAAAGGAAAAATGAATAAACTCCTTGGTTATGTTTTCAGCCAAATGATCACATTTAATATCACTAGTAATGAAAATATCCATACCAATATTTTTCCAAAAGT